TTCAACAATGGCCATACCTGCATATCAATAGAAGTCCCAGTGGTCACAAAAAATAATCCAAGGAGTAAACCTTTGAATGGCCTTATATCAGCTTCTATCTGTGTTCTGAAATTTGTTTCTGCTAGTAATGCCCCAGCCAAAAATGCTCCAAGCTGAACAATGAAATAAAAGATTTGTTTAGTATAAGACTTGAAAAGGAATGATTTCAACTATTGTCTTCCATTTTAGAGAAAAAAATATAGAACCGTGTCACTGAAGCCCAACTGCTGGGTCAGAAGTGAAGTCCCAGCAACAGTTAGCAGGCAGAGAGCTACAAAGGCTTCCGAGCTTCTTGTTTCAGCAACAAACTGAGAATTTGATAAACTTAAGTTAGATATGCAAAACATGAAACCTCTGACAATTTTTTCTTTTCTCATTTTAAAAGAGAAAACTGGTACACACCTCAAAAACGCGCCTAAGAATATATTTTCCTCCAAGGGAGAGCAGACCAAGACCACCTAAAGCCTTTAAACTCTCTTTAGCAAGCATTGGCCAAATGCTTTCCCCAATTAGATTCTGCAAAATTAAAGAGATAAGGGATGCTGAAGGATAGGAAGTCTGAACCTAGAGAGAGAGACAATCTACTGTACCTGGCCCTCAAGCACTGGAAGTATGACTAAGAGAGGGACAACTACTATATCCTGCAAATATCAAGATTCAAAAAGTTTATTGGCATAATACTACAATGCCTTCTTAATAAGTTAACTATAATCTGTTGTTCTATAAAATTGAGAACACATAAGCATAAGCATCTACAGTAGCAAAATGAACCTGTAAAAGAAGTATCCCCAAAGTTGCAGAGCCAAATCGTGTTGGCAGCTCACCCTTCTCTGCAAGAAGCTGTATCTTACACTCGTAAGATTTTTTTTCCTTTAGCGAGAACACTTGAAAGATTTATGATGCCACATGTATTAGCGATATATGTCACTTTTCATGAAAATGAAACATTTGTTCTTTAGAAAGCACCACACAGCAGAAAACTGTAAGGAAAGTCTGAGACTCTAACAAGGTTCAATCTTATTAAGTTACACTGTTGTCCTTTCTATTGACAATTGACACAAATTGAAAAGTTAATAAAAATAAAGTTCAGGGAGTGCATTCCACTTGTAAATGTTCTCTGAGAAGTCAACTGTATCTGTTGGGCTGTGTTTGGATGCAGGATTGCCCTCCTAAAATTTCTCCTTCAAACCATATACCATCTCTCCCTTAACAAAAAATGGTAATCTAAAAAGGGAATTTTGAAAGTCTTCCTCATTATGAAATCCCCTTTTTATGTGAAAAAATCCTTAATCCAAACATAAACTGATAGATTTTGTTATTAATGAGATTGAGAGTGGCAAATCTATACCTATATACTAGGCCTTGTGTTTCCAAGTTAGCCAAAAAACGAGAAATATTTATAGAAGTATCAACAGCTGAAAATGAAACAGACTTGGTCAATGACCTACATAACCATCATCACATGTCTATTATTAAGGTTACCTGCAGAACAAAAGCAGAAGAAGACAAAGATAGAGCAGCACCAATCACCAAGGCCTCATCAATGCTTCTGATGTTAACCTACAAGTAAACATAGACCATGGAAGAAAAGTGTATCAGAGGTTTTAAGAGATTATGCAAGATACTCATGTCACTAGGTGTTCAATATTTGTTCTGCTAGAGGAAATATATTGATGACATATCAATTGGATATAAAGCTATAAAATACTTTAAATATCAAATAAAAAGAATACCAAGCATATCTTAAGAAATTTTACACTTCATATTCTGTTGACAGTGTTCTTAACACATATGTCAATGGAATTCATGGATTAGAACAATCCAGCTGTAGTTTTCGAGGATAATGCTGATACAGCTGTGGAGTCTAAAGAAGATTAAGGATGTCTAAACAACATCATTCTTACCAGGTCAGGCCTAGAGTGAAAAAGGAACTCAAGAATTCTTGTTCCAATAGCTCCATTAGGTGGAAGTTCGAATGCTGTGAAAGCAAGAGTGGATAACATAACCTTCAAAGTAGGAAAAAGGAAAAAAGAAAATGTCAAAAAATAAAAAGATATGGCAGAAAATTCAGATATATGAGAATAAGATTATAAGAAAATTGGGAAGATATATAATGTTCCAGTCTGGCAAAGAAGCCAGAGCCAAGGGTCATCTGATTCAAAAATAAAACAAAAATACCACTTTCAATTGTTCTCATTTGAATTCAAAAACACCATTCTAACTCATTTTGCACCATGCTTGTCATGCCAAGCTGCCCTCTTTTACCATACAAAACAACATGTAAATCAACATGAGCCATTGAACAATGCTACTTACTGATAAACCCGAATAGGTAGCATTCAAAAACTGATTTACAGAGACAATGCCCAAATTTGTCTCTAAATTCTACCACTGTATGTCAGATAGAACAATAAATGTACCACAGAATGTGAAATAATTTCAATCCTAATAGACATCTAGATCATACTTCTATTTGTGCATGTATATGTGTTTGTGCTTTCAATACTGGTTCAAAATTCTCGCCAATATCATACCTGAGTAAACCCCATACCAAAAGCAAATTTTGCAAGAGCTTTTAGACGATCAAGGGAAAGCTCCAAACCCATCTCAAACAACTGCAAACGAACATCCATTAGTCAAATGAATATGCATAACTTCAACATATGTTCAACTGAAAAAAACTAAATTTCAGTTACATTCTAAAAAGTGACATAAGTAGACAAGGGTTATAATAATCATTCACAACTTTCAAAGAACACCAGCACATGTTTCATCTTAACCATCTAAGAAATTGAGCTTACCAGGAAAAGGATCCCCCACTCTGAAAGGACTTTAACATCTGTAAGATTTCTAATCAATCCAAACTGATTCAACACAACACCAGCAAAGAAGAAACCAAGTATCTAAAAGCCAAAAGCATTTTTTAGTTATGATGGAGAATAAAGAACTATAAATCATAAAATAACGTGTTCAATTGTATCATATTGTGCAGAAGTTTTATTAAAATAAAGCCTTTATCCTTACAGGGCTTGCTCTAATGATTTTGAATGCAGGAACAATCAGGACTGTCACAGCTAAGAAAGTCAAGGTATCCAATCCTAAATCATTGATAACCTCAACAGCACCAGCAACATCAACAGTAGCATAAATCCGTGATCTTCCCCGTTGAACAAGTCTATTATTGGAGAAACTGAGTTCTCTCTGATGAAATAGTGAGGATGTTAAAAGGGAAGTGCCAACAAATATACTTTTTGAAACAAGAGAGCAATTAATCATTCTTCCATCACGTATTGCATACAAAGCCGAGTCTATGAACAGGTTATGGGTGTGTGGCCTATTAAAACAACCCCTGGGAAACCATGATGCACAAGAAGTTGTCCTCCCATGGCACTTTTGTTTAATAAAGTCATACGCCTGCAGATAACAAATGAACAAACTAGATTAGAATTTCAAGTTTTCAGCTGTCTGGAAGTCTCAAAGACCTTAGGTCCGTGCTACTAGTGGTGGATGACTACTTGGAAACCATAGCATGATCTCCAACGTATGGTAGACAGACCTCATAAACATTAACTTATTTTTGATAGTTCATAAAACAAAATGCATTTTAGAAGTCGAAGTTTTCTATTCAACTATAACTCAAAGAGTCCTAAAACTGAATTCAGTAAAAAAGCATGTCATCTCTCCATGATTATTCTTTTGCAAAACACAAGCTCACAAAAACAAAGACAAAAAACAATGATAAAGAAAATAAATATTTAACCTTGAGACAAGACTTACCAACTAAAAATTATTACTCACTCATTTCCAATTCAGATTTCTCTTAGAATCAAATTCCACTCATATGAACAATTTTGTTCATTTCCATTTTTCTTTTTCTACTGGGATTGAACACTATAGAATACCAATGGTAGCATACTCAACTTCAAGACAATAACTAATTGGGTTGACCGGATTACATTACCGTGAATAGGAGAGTATTACCTTGGGAGTTTGGCCACAAGATTCTAAGTGCAACATTGTTGTCGTTGTAAGACCCATGAATCAATAACAAAGTGGGTGGGAAAAGTTTATGTTCATGCTTCTTGTTTCACTGCTAAAACCTAACAGATATAATGAATTGCAGATTTTGAGAAAGAAAGGTGTGAACTTTGGGATGCAGTATTGAAATTCTGAAGATGGATTTCTGTTTTTCCCTCCTTTTCTTCAATATTCATAAATTTAGGAAAGGAGAGAAGAAGAGGAGGACAAGAGACCACGACATGTCCAAGGAGTCCTGTGATTTTGAAGCAAAGTTGAACGTTTCGTCAGGAAATGGTTTTTTGGCGTTTGGCGGTGGATGACATGAACGGAGAGTAGGGAGACGATTGATTTTTTCAAACCGGAAGGATGACGTTCTGTACATGTGGCAATTGCTGACATTTTCTGATAACTATCAGGATAAACCAATTTTTCTGTTTTTCTTTTTTCTTTTCTTTTAACATGTGAAAACTATTGGCCGAAAACTCGAAAATAGAATTCATAATTTTTGGGGGAAAAACAAAAATAAATAAATAAATAAATCTTTTCTTTGGTATAAGCATGTCTTTTTCTCACTTCAACTTTTGTTGTTCAAGACTTCTTAAATGTCAAACAAGAATTTCATTGAAAAAAAAAAAGATTTTTAATTACCATTCATATCCTTTATTAAAATTTTAAGTCAAAATATGAGAACTAAAGTTGAACAGAAAGGGTATCTATCCAACCGGAAAAAATCGGTTTAAGTACTATTTTGGTCCCTTAACTTTTATTTTGATATCAGAATTATCCCTCAATTTTAAAAAGTATTAAAATTCTCCCTTAATTTTCATTTTCGATACCGAAAAGGTCCTTCCGTAAGTTAAATGACAAATGACACGTTAACTTGCTAGCAAATCATTTTTTTTTTTTAACTAATGACATGGAAAAAAACAAAGTATAGTTGGCCATCTTTGTTATAAATTGACATTTTTATTTAATTTAAAAATAATGATATTTTTTTTTCATCCACGTCATCTCTTCTTTCTCTTTCACTTTCTCTCTCCTTTACCTTTCCTTTTCCCTTACCTTTACAAACCCAAATCCACTTCATCTTCTTCCTCCTTTCCTCCTCCATGCTCATCCTTCTTCATCCTTCTTCTTTCTTCTTCTTATTGTTTCTCTCTCTCTTCTCCATGCTTTTTCCTCTCTCAAACCCAAATGTGGGCTTCATCACATAAATTAACGATATGAAGAAGTTGGTGATAATAAGAAAAGCAATACAAATCAATTTTTCCTAAAGGAAAAAAAAAAAAAAAACTTCATCTTCTTCCTCCTTTTCTCTTTCGATAGTTTTACCTACTTATTCTCTATCAACCTTCCTTTCCTTGCTCATCCTTCTTCTTTCTTCTTCTTATTCTTTTTCTCTATCTTCTCCTTTATTCTTCCTCTTCAAATCAAACCCAAATCTGGGTTTGTTTTAATCTTATCATATACTAAAAAGTTCATCCCATAAATCCACAGAGCCAAAATACATACATACATTGGCCATTAATAATAATATTATATAACATCAGAGCTTCTTCCATACTAATATACGAACAAATAGCCTAATCTCAAAATACAATTAGGCACAAAAGAAAGCAACAGAACAGGAAAATCGAAATTCTATTGAGTGACTTGTCTGCTTGCATCTCCTGTCTTCTTAGCTTGGGACTGCTATTCCCCATCAAGTAGTATGAATTTGGGTATGTGTATAGGCTTTCAGAGTTCCCAAACACCCTTGCATAAACCATCTCACCAAACATTCCAACCACTGGATGGTGGAATTGAGTCATTGTGGGGTCTGCAAGGTTGGACATCCACGAGGATGAATCCTCTTCATAGAATGGATTTGGGTTATGGTTCTGTGCTTGATAAGGATTATGATAAGGAAGCTGCTGACCATTATGAATAGTAGTTGATAGAAGAGCTTGGTTACTGCAAGCCAAAATACATACATACGTCGCCTCTTCCCTCACCTCCTCTTCGTTCATGTCTTGGTGATTTTTATGGATTCTGCTAGGTGATTGAGGAGGGATTTGAGGGCAAAAGGGTAGGTTTGAGACAAACCCAGGGCCCACTAATTCCAGCACAAAATACTGTGAGCACATTGGACACTCATGTGGCTTGCCTTTCTCCAGCCAAAACCAAACAACATCATGCTCATCCTCGCCTTCAACTCTTGGGCACCTAACTATTCTCTTGTCATAGAAGGATTAAATGACTGCAGGAGCTTCCTTTGTGCCAAAAGGACCAACAGAATTGTTAAAATCTTCAAGAATTTTCCACCCCTGAAGTTCAGCTTCAAGCTCCTCACGCTTGTGCCCGGTGGCAATTGGATTTATGTCCTCAACCCTCTTCTTCACAACAGTATCCCCTAATTCGGAGGAGAAATGGCAAGTAAGGAGAGAAGCAAAGGTGGATGGAGAAATGTAGAGTTTGTCTCAAGCCCCGAGCTAGGTTTGAGACAAACCCAATCGGGGCTTGAGACAAACCCAAATCTGGGTTTGTTTTGGAGAGGAAGAAAAATCAATAAAAGAGAGAAAAAGAATAAGAAAGAAGATGAAGTTTTTTTTTTTGTCTTTAGGTTTGAAAAATTATGAAATAATAATAAAAAATGTTAAATTTTCTTACCTAGAATTTACACCTCATTAGAATTAAAAAAATCTAGTGATTTTGTGGCAAGATAACGTGTCACCTGTCACTTAACTAACGGAAGGACTATTTTGGTATCGAAAATGAAAGTTTAAGGATAATTTTGATATTTTTTAAAGTTGAGGGACAACTTTGATACTAAAGTGAAAAGTTGAGGGACCAAAATGGTACCTAAACCGGAAAAAATCCCACTCCTAGAAGGAACTCTTCAAAGGGAGAGGGAATATCTGCAGAATATCACTTGGGCATTTTGCGACTGCAACCCAAACCCAACCTTTGCTGGAGCCCTTGTGCTGATTCTAGGAGCTTTAAGCTTGTGGCCTATGAACCAGAACTTCACAAGTCAGAAGAAATTCTGGAACATGTTGGGAAACTTCTTTTCCTTTCTGCCAATCTCTTGTTGGCTTCAAGGTTTTGGAAAGATCTCAAACTTACAAACATTTATATTTGCGTCAGGAGATTCAAATCAAGAACTTTATACAAAGATTAATAACTCCAAAAGGTAAGAACATGTAAATATTTGATACAAGGTAGCATATTATTGAAAAGTTGAATGGAGTGGAACAGAGTCTAATATGACAGAGCTAATATTCATGTGACATTAGATAATTTTGAACCTCATACTAACATTTCATACTTTAAAGAGAATTTACTCGGAAGAATTTGCAGGAGCAAACTTAAGTGATATACTGTTGACACAATGGCGTTCATTGGTAGGTGTTGGAAATCCTTCGCCTTTAAATACATGGCCTAGGTGTCCACCACAAGCTGCACAAGTGATTTCAGTCCTCCTTCCATCCGGATCAGGCTGAACACACAAATTTCTCATTACAAACATCACTTGCATAACTACTGATAGATAGACATAGATACTTCAGCTGAAAAATGCCAAGCCTATACACGGAAAGCAAGTGCAGCAAACAAGAAAGGAATAAGCTCACCGTGCGATTAATGGCTCCAGGAAGACCCTCATAGAAAGCTGGCCAACCACAACCAGAGTTAAATTTGGTAGTAGACCTATAGAGGGGAGTTCCACATCCTGCACATTCATACACACCCTCACCGAAGAACTTGTCATATTCTCCAGTGCCAGGATACCTAACATCATCGGAACAATGTCAATTTTCCAGAAATATTATGGATATATACATAACTTAGACTTATGAGATTTGTTTGTCAATTGGGTCTCAAAAAAATTAGGAGGAAAAACAATTCAAAACTACATGCACGATAGTAAAAGACCAAAACAAACACATCCCCGGATTAAAAATAGGTTATTTTACTCTTTTAAAGGGAGTTTATTGAAACAACCTAATTTTAGGGGTTTTTCCTTCCTAATTTTTTAGAAATCTAGCTGACAAACACTTTTTCCTCCTATTTTTCAGAGGTTCACCTTATCATACAATATGGCTCAGGTTTTCAGAAATCATGGGAGAGGCACTTAAGGCATTAGCTGCGATAGAAGTACACCAACAACCATGGCCTCTTTGTCAAGAGTTCAAGCTGCAACTGCAGCATTAGTGTAACTATTCCCTAATCTCTCAATTTCCCACCGTTCAAAAAACAAAAATCATGGGAGAGGATAAAGGGAAATTAAGTACGCATCTCTGATTTTGTCAAAACAAACAACAAATTCAATGTCTACGGTACAGGATTAATCAGAAGACTACGATTCTCACACTCAAAAACACATTATACCCTTCTAAACATTCACTTCATCTTGAAAATTCATCCAAAGACACACTTCACAGTAGTATCTCTCAAGTAACTTTCTTGTTTCTACGGGCAAAAAAAATTTTAATTTTTAAGAATTTCTCAGAAGCTAAAATTACCTCCTTTTCTTTGGCAGAACAACCAAAAGAGACTGAAATACAGTTGCTAAATATATAAATCCTTCAATTAGACAAGTAAAGGCTAAGAGAGGCGTCAAGCTAAACTTACTCTGTGCCCTTTTGCCTCAAAATCTGGAATTGCTCAGGAGAGAGAATCGCACGCCACTCCTCCTCCGATTTCTGGACCGACCCAGGAGCTACCATGGCCACAACAACACTCCCACGGAACCTACGGTTGCTTTGGTGAAAGGAACAGCCAAACCCAGATGCAGAAACGGAATGTCGGAAGGGCTTTGCTGGGGAAATTGAGAATCCCAAGTGGGTATTTTGAAGAAGAAAATTGGGTGCAGTTTCTGAATGGGAATAAATGAGTCTACAGAGATTTGAGGGCTTAGCCGCCGCCGTCGCCGGAGCTGTGGCGAGAAGGACGGCTCTGGAGGAAGCGAGGGGAGTTGTTTTGAGAATGCGTAATCCCATCAGAGAGTGTTTCCAGCCCAATCGAGTTGATAACGAAGAAAAGATAATATGAATTTTATTTCTGTTTATTGTAGATAATATGAATTTATAAAAGCTCTATTTCACCGTGTATATTGTATTAAATTATAAAATAAATTTATAAGATAATTTTAATATTTATTTTTATTTAATAATTTATATTATCTTTATTGCATTATGACTTTAAAAAAATTAAATATTAGTTTATATTATAAAAAATTTAAATA